CCTGCCTGTCTTTCCAAATGCATTTTATGCTACCCACCTACCAAACACTTCCAGAGCCTTACCACAGGCTGCCTCCTGGTTCTGGGACAGGTTCTTCCCTCAGCCCTGCAGTTAGCTGCTACCCAACTTCACAGTCTCTATTTAAATGTCATCTTCTCAAGGAGTCATGCCTTACTATTCTAAATTGGATCATTTCTGTTATTTTCTCTCTCCCTTTTCTGTCCTTAATAGCATTTATTACCAGTTGTAATTAATTTTGTTTGATTGCTTCTTTGGGTCTGTGTTCACTAAGATATAAGCCCTAGGGAGCAAGGACTATGTGTAGCTTGTTTGCTGCTGTATCATCAGTATTTTAGTATTTAGTAGGTGTTCAGCAAATATTTATTGAATGAATGAGAGGGGCAGAGGCAAGCTGCCAGGAGGACAGGGTGTATCTACTGAATGCTCAGCTCATGAAAAAATAACATACTTTCAAAGGATCAGATGGACCCAATCATTGCCCGCAGTTTGCTCACATGGGAGAAATTTGGAGAATAAATCTGAGAGCTGTTTATTTATTGTAAAGATTATAGGGGTTCTGTGTCTTTCTGGCAGGCATGTTTGCCTTCTGCTTATTTAGCTAATATGAATCATATTGATAATGTGACTGTGTGACAGACAGTTCAGCCGTATGCTGAGGTTTCTACCACCTTAATTTAAAAGTATTATACATCTACATGAGCACCTTAAATTTTTTCTGAAACTGTGCCTTAATTTCCACCATAGTTGTGTGGTCCGTCAGATTTTGTGATTCCACTGGGCTGAGGCCATTTCAGAGAGTGTGCGGTGTGAGGCCTAACCCTGAACAGCCAAGGTTATGAGTGGGTCTACCAAGACGTGTTCACTGAAATGGTCTCTCTGGTAACAATGAGCAGACTTTTGAATGAAAGTGTCTGATTATCAGCATTTAGGATTTAAAATGTCTTCGTTATCTTAGTTGAGGTGTTCTTTATGATATTTTACATTAGGAATAGTTCATTATTTATTTATTTATTTATTTAAAAGATTTTATTTATTTATTTGACAGAGAGAGAGAGCGCGAGAGAGGGAACACAAGCAGGGGAAGTGGGAGAAGGAGAAGCAGGCTTCCTGTGGAGCAGGGAGCCCGATGCGGGGCTCGATCCCAGGACCCTGGGATCATGACCTGAGCCGAAGGCAGACGCTTAACGACTGAGCCACCCAGGCGCCCAGGAATAGTTCATTTTTTAAAGCCATTTTATTTTATTTTTTCATTTTTTAAGATTTTATTTATTTGTCAGAGGAAGAGAGAGCACAAGCAGAGGGAGTGGCAGGCAGAGGGAGAGAGAGAAGCAGGCTCCCTGCTGAGCAAGGAGCCTGATGCAGACCCAATCCCAGGACCCTGGGATCATGACCTGAGCCGAAGCCAGACACTTAACCGACTGAGGCACCCAGGCATCCCTTAAAGCCATTTTATATCAGTTTATAGGAAGACTGGTTTTTGTATTTCCTAGGACATGAGGGAACTTGTCTAGTAAATCTTAAGAGCAGATCGGATATTTCAGAATGAGTTAAAAAGAAGGGCCTAAAAAACGCAGCCTTGATTCTTCCAGCGTTATTAAAATGCCCATTCTTTTTGGGAAACACCGAGCTGAAGTTTTGGCTTACTGTGCAAATCATCCTTCTTCCTAGTGTATAAGTATGTTAATAATATTGGAGTATTTTGAAACTTAATGTTTAAATATCATTCCAAATATCTCCTTTTATTTTGCATTGTCAGATAGTTAATCTAACCTTTTAATTAACAATAAATCAGTAAAGTTGTTGGTCTTATTGAAAGAACTAATGCACTGCATTTAATAATCTGAAACCTTGGTTAGACCTACCATTGGCTTAGTTTACTCGACTTGTAGAAAGTGAAGTCCTAGGATTCTAGGTTTTAGAGGGATTCCTTAGGTTTGGCTCCAGAAAGGTGGTAACCTTTAAAGAAGGACTCAAAAGTTGTCAAATGAAAATTTCTTGGTTGCTATATTGGTAGTTTCCAACTGCTAAATCAAGGAATGCATTTCCCCCATTTCTCCAGAAACAGTATCATAATGGGTAGATAGCTGTGATAGCACCTCCGCAGCCCCTTTCCCCAACCCCACTGGTCCCTGCACACGGGAATGGCGGACAGGAGAGCAAAACCACACCAGTGCTCATGACAGGGTCAGGAGCCTTGGAGTCTATTCTTAGCTCTGTCATTTTGTGCAAGTCATTTGATTCGTCAGGCTCAGATTACTCATCTATAAAACAAATGAATTGGGCAAGATCATTTCCAAGGTTCCTTTAAGCTCTGCTGTCTTGTAATTGGGATTTTCTAATTCCTGCATCAGAGTCTGGGCAGGGATTTGGATGGCAGAGTAGTGTAGGTGGTCAGGCACTTCATACTTAACCACATTTCCATAGTTGCGTGGTTTAGTCACCAGATCAAATTGAATAACCAGAAGCGATGGTGCACTCACACAGAAATTTTTGGTGCTCTTTATAGGAAAACATTTTCAGTTTTATAATAGAGGTCAGGGAAAAAACTTTATTTCATAGGATTTGTGCCATTTTGACATCACTCTGTTATTCTTCGAGTACTTCATTACTTTCTGGTACAGAAAGATGTTCCAGCTTATCTTGTAATTTCACATCTTGGTAGACCCATTTCATAACCTTGGTTGTTCAGGGCTAGGCCTTACACAGCGCACTGTCTGAAATGGCCTCACCTCCACTTGTCCCGTCCATGGAGTCAGCCAATCCCCTGAGTACTGGTTCCTTTGAGGGGAAATGGTCAAGGTGTGCTCTTGCAAAATGAGGTGCTGTTACTTCTCCCTCTTTTGGAAGAAGAGCTAGGAAGTATTTTTTTTTTTGAAATTAGATAATACCCCTAATTCCAGTTCACTACCACAGGGCTCTTCCTCTCCTTCCCACATGTTAGGTTTGTATGGTCTTTCTCCTTCAGTTCATGATTCCCAGCAACATCAGCATATTTGTTTGCTCAGTGCTACAATACATATAAAACTGTTACAAAATTTTTTACCAACTTTACTACCAATAACAAACCTACCACTTTCTTTGCAATTCTATTTACCTTAAGAATTATTATCCTGAATGGAGTGCCTGAGTGGCTTAGTAGTTAAGCGTCTGCCTTCAGCTCAGGTCATGATCCCAGGTTCCTGGGGTCGAGCCCCACATCGGGCTCCCTGCTTGGTGGGAAGCCTGCTTCTCCCTCTCCCACTCCCCCTGCTTGTGTTCCCTCTCTTGCTGTGTATCTCTCTGTCAAATAAATAAATAAAATATTAAACAAAGAATAATTATACTGAAGATGTACATCTGTGTACTCTCAAAGAGATTACTCTCTGTTATTGTTGTCTTAACACTGTATTTTCCCCTCCCTCCCTCCCTGCCTCCCCTTTCTCTTCTTCCCTTCCCTTCCCTTCTTTTCCCTTCCCTTCCCTTCCCTTCCCCAGATTTGTTGAGAGGTAGTCTGTGCCCCTCTTTGAACTGCTGCTGTTTACAGTACTTTCCTAGGTTAAGCTAATCACCTTCTCTATAGGAGTCATAGGATAATTAATCTACCAAAAGCACTAATGTTCTGAGCAGCCATATATATATAAATAAAAATATATGCTATATAACTTTAATGACTTTAATATATATAAAATATATAGTTTCATTTAACAATACATAAATATATAAATAACAGTTATGTATTTATCAAACCATAGTATGTAAAACCTTTATATATTAAACCCATTTTATTTCTCTGTTCATGTAATCTTTATTTATTGCTCATATATAATTTTTAATCCACAGAACCCATGGTCCCTTGTTTTCTGGTCTCAGTTTCAGCCAGTATTTCACATTAGGACCATTAGGTCATCAGAAATTGTGGATTTCAATTTTTTCATTTTAAGAGTCGGGAGGCACATAAAAAACATTGTGGGCTTTTTTTGTGTGTGTGGTATCATCATAAACTCTAAGGTGTATAAATTCTCGTTAAGCATTAAAGAAAACAGACTGCTGGAACAACCACTGTGGGCTAGGGGTAGGTGTGGGAGTCAGAGGCTGGAGAGAGGAAGCAGTTAGGAGGAAGGAGAGTATTGTTGGAGGGAAGGAGGTAGAGGTTAATGTATGTTTGAACTGAGAACAATGATATTCAAGTGTGGACTGGGGAAATTAAATTGATCAGTACCCAATATAAATATGTAGCCTATTCTTTTTGTTAAAACTGCTTAATAAGTGATCTTTAAAATGCTGTTTTTTTATTTAAAAAGTATGTTTTATTCATCCAAATTGACAGAAAGATATAATTGTACATGTTCCTTGCTATTATGTTTCAGTGATGAAGAGAAAATTGATGTTGGTACACCGAAATATTGTTCAATTATAGTTATTCTTTAGGTGATCCTCTATTGGAAAAATTACTAAATTAATTATGTGGTTTTATCTAATCATATATCAAAGAAAAACAACCATCATATATTAAAGAAAATATTACTTTGAGACATTTATGCTTTCATTGAAATGATCACTGTACCTTTAAACTAGAATATATATTTGGAGAAAAGCCCAAGAATCTTTTAAAGATTTTTTGAAGGTATTTTCGAGTATTTTGAAAGATACCTTTTAAATACCTTTAAAATATTTGAAGATATTTTAAAAAGAAAGACTTCAATAAAAATATTTTTATTTTACTTTCATTAACTTGTATATATACATATTAAATATGTGTGTGTTTTAGGTCTTATTACAATTGAGTATATTCTTCCCATCTTCCTACTTAGTGTTTTCTTATGGGCCTATTTAAACAAATCTCTAGGCAGGACCTTATAGAATATTGGTCATTCTAGCACCTTCTATTTGCATAGATTTTCATAGATAAAATGAAGCCATGCCAGGGTAGCTCAAATATTTTTATCAGTGATAAAAAAGCTAAAATCCTTTGGAAGTAACTTTTTGTATTTTTATTACAGGTAAATTGGGATATTCACATTGTACAGAAATAGAGGTAAGAGACATACTCAAATATTTATTAGTAAAGTAGCTTTGCAGTTCTTTAGATTAACTTAAATATTGAACTATATCTCATGGGTTTTTGGTCTTCTGACAAGGATGTGTTGAGAGCAGGTATATATCTTTTACATTTAAAAAGAGTAAAATGTGAAGAAAAATTCGTTATCTTGCCCATATAAATATATTTTTTATTTTATTTTATTTATTTTATTTTTTAAAGATTTTATTTATTTGACAGAGAGAGACACAGCGAGAGAGGCAACACAAGCAGGGGGAGTGGGAGAGGGGGAAGCAGGCTTCCCTCTGAGCAGGGAGCCCGATGTGGGGCTCGATCCCAGGACCCTGGGATCATGACCTGAGCTGAAGGCAGACGCTTAACGACTGAGCCACCCAGGCGCCCCTAAATATATTTTTTAAAGATTTATTTTTAAGTAATCTCCACACCCACTGTGGGGCTCAAACTCACAACCCTGAGATTAAGAGTTGCATGCCCCACTCACTGAGCCAGCCAGGCACCCCTCTTGCCCATATTTTTAAAATGCCAGTGTGTGTTAAAAAGATTACCTTAATCGGGACACCTGGGTGGCTCAGTCGGTTAAGTGGCTGCCTCCGGCCCGGGTCATGATCCCAGGGTCCTGGGATCGAGTCCCACATCGGGCTCCTTGCTCAGCAGGGAGCCTGCTTCTCCCTCTCTCTCCCTCTGCTTGTGCTCTGTCAAATAAATAAAATCTTTAAAAAAAAAAAGAAGATTACCTTAATCATGGCTTTAAAACTTTCCCATGTTATGTGTGAAATTGAGATACTAAGATTCAGAGCCCTTAATAAGAAATAGTTTAAGTTGTTTTTTTCATAATCCAATCTAATGTGTCATAATAAATAAATCATAAATATTTTGAGCTCCTCTGGAGCTGCCTTGGTGTAGGAAAAAAAAATAGGGGCTTAGAAACAATATTTCAGTGAGATTAATAATGAATCAAATAGTTTGTTATCTTAGTTCAAAATTCTGATTGTGAACTTTAAGGAATTTCCACGTGATTCCCTGTGTTCCTTGCAGGAATTTCAAGGGTAGCACTGAAATATGAGGGTAGCATCCATGAAGTGTGTACATCTGGTGTTCTTTGCAGCAACTGTTGCCTCATCTTTACATTAGGAGTCTTGGGTCTTTGTTAATGGCAGTGCCTAAATAAAGGATTTAAGAAGTTATTTTTCTAATATGGTAATACGTCTACATGTTGATGTAGATTTTAGTAAATTTCAACTGTTATTTTAAATAAAATGCAAGCTTCCTAAGGGATTATATTGTATAATAAAGAAGCAAAAATCATTTGTTCTTTTTTACATTCAGAAATTATACAATTCATTTTTGTATTTTCAACTTTGGAAGTAGAGATAATTTTTTTTCCAAATTAGCTCTAAAAATAGGCAAGAACTTAATTTTTTAAAAAGTAGAACTTAATATTTCTATATTGTGAGAATTTTTGATGTACTGTTCAATGTAATATAAAGGAGTGGGATTTGATTTGAGTCAGAAAATATAACTTCTGTCTGTGGTTTCTGGTGTGCGTTTTTCTAGCTATGTAATTTTGAGCAGTATTTTTTTCTCCTGCTCTCCTAGAACTTTGGCTTTCTTATCTGTAAAATGTTAATCATAATTCCTATTGACCTCACAGGTTGTAAAATTTTAAAGAGCAAATATATGTGACATGTTATACAAATCCTGAAGACACTGTCTTATGTTGTATCACCATAAAATCAGCATGGTTGTAGCACTTTGTTTAGTATTCACTTTGTATAGGAACATCACTCATTTTATCTCTGTAATCTCTTAGTTATTAGCTCTTATTCTGTGACCCATACCTTGGGTAACCAAAAGAATTGGAATCTAAACAGAACCTCCTTTCAGGATTTTTTAAAATGACTATTTGATGAGGGAAAATCACAAGAAAATAAAAAATTCAATCCAATTATTTAGTTAACAGCGTGGAGTATTTTCTAGGGGTAATGGTGGTTAGAGACTGGAATTGTAGATGGTGATTTATCTATATTGTTTGGATTTTTTTTTTTAAATGAGAACATCTCTGCGTATTACTTTGTTAATTAAAATAATAAAAAGGAGGGGCAGTAGAGGTTGTGGGAACTACTTTTTCAAGAAGTTTGGTGACTTGAAAGAAAAAGAAGACAGCTTAAGTAGAAAGTTTTGTTTTTTAGGGAAGATGGTACATTTGAAGGGGTGGGGGGTGGCGGTGGTAAGGAAGCAAGAGAGAGTGAGTTGGAGTCCAAGTTAGAGAGTGGGGATCTGCTGAAATCAGATGTAGGACTACCTCTGGCTTCACTAGAGCAGTGGTTCTCCAAGTGTGGTAAGAGGGCTCTGGGGGGTTCCTGACACCCTTTCAAGGTCAGACTGTTTTTGAAGTAATACTAAGACATTGTTTGCCCTTCTACTTTCATTCTCTTGAGGGTACAGTGGTGTTTTCCTTGGCTACATGACTGTGTAACTATAAATGTCATGCCAGACCTCAGAAGCAGATATAAGATCTAGCCGGCTTTTATTAAGCATGACCTTCAGGAGTTTTACAAAAATGCAAAACAATACCACTCTTCTTCTTCTTCTTTTTTTTTTTTTTTTGAAAATAGAGGTTTCTTTCCCATAAAAATGTTACTTATATTAACATGTTTAATATTTTTAAATGATTTAATTAAATTTTTAAATAAAAAATTTCTGTTTTAATTTCTAATACAGGAGATGTTGATAGATTATGGTTCACATACATAAAAGCTCCTTGGACTCCTCAGTAATTTTTAGAGTGTCAGAGGGTCCTAAAACCACAGTCTGAGAGCTGTTGAGCTGGGGTGTGGTTAGCACGGTATTTCTGCCCGAGAAACAGGATTGAGGGCTGAGAGCAGTAAAACCTGCAGTCCTGAGGAAGACAATGGGAAGTTGAGGGAATCTTTGATAATAAGGTTTTAAGCCCATCTTTTCTGTCAGTAAGACAACAGGGTCATTTCTGAGAGTGAGGTGATCCTGGATCAGAAAGGTGATTGTTAGAGCCTCTTTTGCCCTTCCATTGTTCTTCTGTTCAGAAAGCTCTGGCATTAAATGCAGACCAAGAGAAGGGCTGCTCACAAGTTGTAGATGAGTAGAACTGTGAAGGGCCCTGGAAAAGGTGGAGTAGCATGTTGCTTGCTCCATCCTTCTCCCTCACTTCTCAGCCTCAAGATTCCTCATCTGAAAGGTGGGTTGTTGTGATTGCAGAGAGTTTAGCATAAAGCCTGCCTTAATGAATATAGCCTATTATTCTTAGTTGGGAGGTGTATAGTTTCCTGGGATGGAGAAAGTCATCTTCTTAAGCAAGGTCATGGACCACTAGGAGCCTCAGGGTGACTGCTAGTGAAAACAAAATCCCTTTATCTTTCTGGGCCTTCAGGATCCTCACTGAGACATATAACTTGAAATGTTCAACTGTGTATTTTAATAGTTTTTGTAGTACAGAGAAATCATATTATGAATTCTTTTTTTTAATTAACATATAATGTATTATTTATCTCAGGGGTACAGGTCTGTGATTCATCAGTCTTACACAATTCACAGCGCTCACCATAGTACCTACCCTCCTCAATGTCCATCACCCAGCCACCCCATCCCTCCCACCCCCTCCACTCCAGCAACCCTCAGTTTGTTTCCTGAGATTAAGAGTCTCTTATGGTTTGTCTCCCTCTCCACTTTCATCTTGTTTCATTTTTCCCTCCTTCCTCTATGATCCTCTGTCTTGTTTCTCAAATTCCTCATACCAGTGAGATCATATGAGACTTGTCTTCCTCTGATTGACTTATTTCGCTTAGCATGATACCCTCTAGTTCCATCCACATCGTTGCAAATGGCAAGATTTCATTTTATTGATGGCTTCATAGTATTCCATTGTATATATATACCACATCTTCTTTATTCATTCATCTGTTGATGGACATCGAGGCTCTTTCCATACTTTGGTTATTGTGGACATTGCTGCTATAAACATTGGGATGCACGTGCCCCTTCAGATCACTACATTTTTATCTTTGGGATAAATACCCAGTAGTGCAATTTCTGGGTTGTTAGGGTAGCTCTGTTTTCAGCTTTTTGAGGAACCTCCATACTGTTTTCCAGAGTGGCTGCATCAGTTTGCATTCCCACCAACAGTGTAGGAGGGTTCCCCTTTCTCCACATCGTCACCAACATCTGTTGTTTCTTGACTTGTTAATTATTTTCTAGTTTTACTTTCAACTCTCTTTTTAAGACTTTTCCTATATTCAGAAAAACCAAACAAAATTATGAGTTTAGAGAAAGCAAGGAGGCCATACATAGGCATTCAGTCAACTTTTATGTGATCTTATTCCTCAAGATAGTTTAATGTTTCTAAAAGATCAAGTATTATACCTTATTTCTCACTGGAAAGAATTTTTTTTAAAGATTTATTTATTTGAGAGAGAGAAAGAGCCCGTGCTCTCATGCATGTGCGAGTGGGGGGAGGGGCAGAAGGAAAGACTCCTCAAGCAGACCCCCTGGTGATCACAGAGTCCCATGCAGGGCTCAGTCTCAGGACCCACCCATGAGATCATGACCTGAGCCAAAACCAGGAGTCCCACAATCAACCGGCTGAGCTACTCAGGTGCCCCTGTTTGGAAAAATATTTTAATGTACTCAATTATACTAGTATATTCCAACATTTGAACTCATTAAGGGAAATTTTTCATATAATTTGTTTTAAAAGACATTGTAAAATTTTTTACTTTAATAGGCAATTTAATTTTTTCCTATATCTCTTTTACATTTTTTGCAGGTATAATTTACATACAGTAAAATTTACCTTTTTCAGTTACAGTTCTTCGGGTTTTAACAGATATTCAGTTGTGTTAACCATCTCTGCAATCAAGTTCTGTCATTCCCCAAACTCTGCCAGTGCCCCTTGGTGGTCACTCCACCCCCCGCTTTGGGCCCCTGTCTACCGCTGATCTGTA